GCCTCGACGATCTTTGCCGCGGGCATCGTCAGCGCGCCCTCAACGATTTTAATCGGGGGGACGAGTCGGCGGGCACGCGGGATCACTACATGGTTCCGACCAGAGACCCGAGAGAGTTGAACGAGAGGATCCTTTCCCTGTTCAATCCACAGTTCCTGCCGAATTTCAACGACATGATCATGTACGTTGCGAACCAGTACGACGCCAGACGAAGCCCGCCACCTAGATCGCGCTCGATGGCGGACGGGGAGGATCGATTGTTCAGGCGGTCGAGCAGCTGTCGGAAGAAACGCGTTGGGGCGAGTTCCATGTTCTTCCGCCGTGGATTAACGTACGAAACGGCGCGCAAGTGACAACGGCTGTCCCCTTTCGGATTCAAACGAAGGATAGAACGTTGGGTCGATCGAGTGACGCGCGATAAAACGTAAAAGGGACGACGCTGTTGTCTTGGCTGCCGACGAAATGAAGGAAGGAGATGCTCGATTGAAGCTTGGAAGATCGACGGGCAATTACTTGGAAGGAAACTGTGACTGGTCGATTTGGTTCTTTCTTGGAGAACGGTTCACATAGATGATCGTTCTCCTATCCGATGATCGTCCTTCCTGATGATTAAAGGGAGAACTTTTTGTTCCTTGCGGGTTCACGCAAGGGAAGACCACGATATTATTATTGCATACCTAAGTGTCGGCGTTACCTGAGATGTCTCGAGGATGTGGTGTACTCGAGAGGATTTCATTTTCGTCGTCGTTCAATACGACCACATGTGTACAGAACGACCGGTACGTTGCAAGGCCACGTGCTTCCGGTGTCACGTGTCGTATCGTCTGATATACATATATGTACCGCGAGAACAGAGACACACGCGTACTTTGGAACTATTTTTTTAAGATAATAATTCACAATTCAGGCTCTCTCCGAATGTCTTAAATATAAGCGCGGCATCGCGTGTCGGACGCTCCAACACAACTTGAGCTAATTTTTGTACAGAATTCGAACGATTTTCGAGTTCTTCCTTTCCGTTTCTCACTAGTACGGCAATGGAGGGAATACATATGGGAAATGAAGGGACACACACAAAAAAAAAAATTGATGGAGTATCAAACAAAGCAAACAACGACGATGGGACAAAGGATCGGACTCGTAACTGTGTAATGTGATACGATCTGAGGAGAGTTCTGTGTTCGTAGCAGTGGCCTGCTTAGGTGCTTAGAACCGCGGTGATTTAAGGACGTAGACGAAGCGTCTTGCCACCACGTTTCTCAAACTACCCTCCGTGAACTTTCGCCCCTCGACCGCGGGAATAGTAACAAGGGAAATAAACTAAACAAGATGAAAAGAAAACTTATCGAACAAGATTCGTTTTACGAGAGANGAAAAAATAAAAAAAGAATCGCTTGCTATAAAACACTCCTATCAAATTCGCTTTGATCCTAGAGACAAGGTTCAAGATAGTTCAATGATAGTTTAACGAGAATATAATATAAAAAGTTAAGAAGTGTAAAGAGGAGATGATTTTGTAAAGAGAAAAGGTATTTAAAAGAAGGGGTTGAAGTTTGAGAAACGTGACCTCGTGGAGGGACGTTTCGAAAGCATTCGCGGGAGACGAGGCGTGCCTTCCGTATATTAATTGTTGGCAAATTTCTGATCTATAAAAAAAAACAGGAACGGGAGAATGCGGCCGGTATAGATTCGGGCAAGTGCCTCATTTATGCGTTTCGTTTAAAAAAAAAAATGAAATATTCGATAGAGGAAGGGGGGGGGAGTGGTGAATATGAAAAAAAAAAGGGTGAGAAAGAGAGCGAGCGAGAGCGAAAGAGAGAAAGAGAGATTGAGAGAGATATAATAGAGACTTATGTAAGACTTATTCGAAGTATTGTTGTGCACTTATTGCCGTGCTGTGAGTATATTGGTTATTAGCAAGAGAGAATTGTAGTGTTTGAGGCACGAGTACGGTTATTAAAATGAAAAAAAGAAAAAAAAAAAGAAATGAAAATATGGAAGAAACATTTACCGCGTTGTAACGTCTTCGAGAAGTTATGTATTTTTGGCTGGGACGTGTTATAAATCGATTTA